TGTATGTATTATTCGTCTTAAGCTGTTGTCTGCAATTTGTTTCAGCCAAGACTTCTCCATTTGTTTTTCTAGCTGTCCATGGGATACGCAGCATGCGTCTTATCTTATGAACCACAACTTTGTCGCCTCAATTGCTATGTACCAGGGTGAGTCAAACGTAATGCAAGTTCGTTTATAACTTAAAGAAGAAAGAAAACACTTGCAACTATGATACCTCAAATTGAAGGGGAGCATCTGAGGATCAGATTTTTATTTCTCAACATAGTCTCCATTTCGTTCAATAGCCATTGTCCACCTTTTAATAAGTCCACCTATGCCAGCTTCGTAAAACTGAGCAGGCTGGTCGTAGGGGTACAGCGGTCTTGATTTCTCCATCGTTTCAATAATGTTGACCTCTCAATGGTTCTTTTCTAGAACCAAAAAGGTGGAAGTCTAAAGGAGCTAAATCTGGAGAATAAGTTGGGTGGGGCAGTGTTTTCCACATGAAGGGGGTGATTATCTCCCTTGTTCTGGTACTCGAATGCCGGCGGGCATTGTCAAGGTGAAAAAACACTCTTTCCGTGTTCAATTTTGGTTCATTGCACACATGCGTCTGACCCACCTATATACAGTGCCAAAATCAAGAGCTTGGTACTTGTAAACAATTTGAAGTCAGTTTTGGATGTTAACGGTAGATTCTCCTTCTAAAACAAGGAATTCAATCACTGCTCTCTACTTCTGACAAACCACCGAGGGGGTAGCCATTTTGATGTGACGTTATTCGGGCCAAAATGGAAAAAACCTAAATTTAAACAATTTAAATTCAAAAGTATATAAGCAAGTACTTGTAAGCTGAATTTAATTAAATTTTAGACTAAATTGTCCAAAACAATGAACAAATTGTGACTCCCCCTTGTAGATCTAGTAGAACATAAAAAACCAGCAGAAAAAACACCTCTTTATCCGTGATAGACAGAAGATCTACCCAACATTAAGACTGCAGAAGGGACATCTTCATTTTTTTTTAAACGACAAAAATAAAGACAGAATAAGACGTTAACACGTTAAAACTTTTCTAGGTGTTATTATTCACGAATGACAAAAAGAAATTTTGTTTGTTTTCACTTCATTTCATTAGGCCTATAGACTGGCGTCTGTGGTGTAGCTGTATAGCGTTCCCCACCTCCATCCCCCAAGAGTAAGAGTCTTCAGGTTTTTACTTTTAGGTCTTTCTGCTGGGATGCCGTATTTCTCTCAGTCTCAACACAAGCGATACATTTTGTATTGGCCCTGCATAATAGATAGAGTCGAAGCCTACCTTCTACATGATTTAAATCGTGTCAATGGAGAGTAAAATCTCCTGGATTTTATATTTTATATAGAGGTAGATATCAAACGACCCCCCCAGGAAAAACAGAAATCTCATCTTCGCCTTTTTCACGATAAATGTTTGTTATGACAAAACGTGTGTTTTGACACTACTAAGTAAGTTTTGACACTACTATGAAGTAAGTCGAAAATTGGAGAGAAAAAATCGTTCATGCGGGCTCATTTATCTCATTTTAGAAATGACTTTTAAAAGATTATTTCTGAGTATAACTTAAAATTCTGTATAACTTTTAGTCAGTGCGCCGTTGAATTCAAAGTTTGGCCTGTTTTAATGTAGTTTATCTTGTCCGTCTGTATGTTGTGATGGCATTGCCAATGAACTAACTTGGGTTTGTGGTCGTTACAGAGTCG